GGTCATCTGTGTCCCCCTGTGCCCCGGCCTGCCACCATCTCAGGCGGGGCGGGTTGATCTTAACACCACACACAGCAGCTGAGTGCCTCTGGCAAAGGGACACAGATGGATCTGTACACGGCCCTTTATGGTCTTCTGGAAACCCATGGTTTGCTACCCTGGCTGGCGGCTGACCTGGGAGTTCTTGGGGCTCTGCTGCTCTGCTAGACGCAGGCTGGAGGGAGGCAGAAGGGCAGGAACAATGCAGTGAAGGGAGAACAAATGAACTTCAGTGACTGGTCCCAGGCCCCAGAGCAGAGGGAGGAGGCAGCCCCAAGACCAGGGACAGAGGTGCCAAGAGAAGAAAAGAGTTCAGTTTGGGATGCACTGAAAACACGCACACCGAATGCATAGGAGGCGCCAGGGAGTAGGACTGTGATCATCAGAGAGGAGCCGGGCCCGGGCCCAGGGTGGAGGTGAAGCAAGGGCACAGGAGTGCCCAGTGAAAAGAGGGTCACTCCCACCACTCAAAGTGCCGGGTGCCTGAAGAAGGGGGTCAGACGGCCCACATGTAAGAAGACAGGGGTTCCAGGCCGCGTGCTGCCTGAGAGCGCTGCAGGCTTTTGGCGTGTCCAGCCTTGGCTCCTCATCCACAGAATGGAATGGTGAGGACAGCTCCGCCGCAGGGTGGACGTGAGAACCAGATGAGGAACAGCGCCGAGGGGCTCAGCCCCACCTCGGAAGCTGGCATCCAACAAAGAAAAGGCAAAGACCAACAAACCGCCCAGAAAGTGGATGAAGGCCAGACATGCACGCCCAACCAAGTACAGAAAGAGAGAGGGACTGTCAGAATGGGGACGCTGCACGCACACTGCACCTTCATTCAGAACACATTCAGTTAGTGCCTCCTGTGTGCAGCTCTCATGCCAATGTCGAGGACAACTCAACAGAAGAGACACCAGGGGTGTACAGGCCAAAGGAGTGCCTGGAGACACTGCATACTCTGAGGTCTGAACTAAGGATGGAAACCCACTTTCAGCCAGGCGAGAAGAGTTTGGAGAAAAGCCATGGAGCTGGAGGACATGATGAGCTCCGGCTTGGCTACTGGGCTGTTGACAGGGCCATAACCCACTCTCTGGCACCCTAGGGCTGCATGCACAGTGTCCTCCCCCACAGGCATGGCACTGCTACAGAAATAACCAGTAGGCCCAAACACTAGTGGTACACCTCAGCACTTGCCCGACTTTGTCCACACCTGTCACATCTGCCTCCCTCCTCCTGTTCATTGGACCCCCTACCCCCCTCTCTGCATGTCCTGGGCTCAGTGGACATGGCCTTCCCGCACACTCAGCAGCTCCTACCAACACCAATCCCCGAAGGAGAAGATGGAGAGAGTTATGCCTATTCTCGAGTCTTCCAAGATGTGGGCATACTGACTACACCAAATCTTCCTGTTGACCCTCGTCATGAAGACCTGTGGGAACCAAGGCGCAGAGGACAGAGCCGTCTTAGTCAGGACCTTCACCGCCCTGGGAAAACAGGATGGGCTGCACACCAGGGTGTGCCCAGCACACTGCCTCAGGGAGCAGCAGCCTTGGAGCAGAGTCAGATCTGGCAGTGCACCAGGGAGAGAAGCTGCTCGTGGAACACTCTGCCTTCTCCCTGCCAGCTTCCACAACCCAGACTCCTCACTGCTTATGTTCTGGAGCACATTTCCCCAGCAGATGGCCCAGTGGAACCTCTACACAAAGTGTTCTACTCTTTGTCGAGGAGAGCACAGGCACTCTAAAATCACTGCTGTGCAGTAAGAAAAAGGGAAAGCAAACCTCCGGAGAGGAAGGTCTCCAGATCTATGGAAACCGATAAGCCCACATTAGCATCACCAGACTCCAAAAGCCACTGTGGGCTCCTGCAGGGTCGGCAAGTTGTCACGGGTGGCTCATCACTACTGCAGGCGCCAGTTCTAGTAAAAGCCGTTTGGATGACTCACATGTTTATAAAGCCAGGAGAGCAACATGCACTCGTGTGCATGTCTGAGAAACAAGCTAGACAAGACTTCCATGTGGGAAAGTCATCTGAGTGACCCAAGGAAGTGGGTTTGGTTGCACGCCTGTCGTTAGTGGGGACCTCTCTGCCATAGGTCAGCTGCTCCTAGTCAGAGGAACCACAAAATTTTAGGCTGAAAACAAGAAGGCTAGAGACATGCTGAAGGATTTTAATACAAGGGAAAAAGAAATAGCATGTATACCCATTGTAAGAAAATCAGCAATTTTTTAAAACTCTTGAATATTATAACTTCTATTTAAAAGGATTTTATTTATTTACTTTTAGAAAGAGAGGGAGAAAAACATCGATCAGTTGCCTCTCACATACCCCCCCACTGGGGACCTGGCCTATAACCCAGGCATGTGTCCTGAGTGGGAATTGAACCAGTGACCCTTTGGTTCACAGGCCAGTGCTCAGTCCCTGAGCCACACCAGCCAGACCATGGATATTACAACTTTTTTAAAGGAAAAATTCCCATGTTGCTGAATCCTGAGAACCAGCTGCTCCAGAGGGAGCCCAACAGGCTCCCTTAGGAAGCATTTGGAGGAGCAGAGAGTATGCTCATGTCCAACTTCACCCTGATAAAGAACAGTGGGCTCTGACATCAGTGCGCAGAGGCCCTGACCACAAAGACCCACCCCTCATATTGCACACACCTCAGCCTCAGGGACCCCTAGACACAGGGGCCAGGCACTCTGCCTTCTCCGCTTAATGCTATGGGGAACCTGCAGTAACCTGGGAGTGTGCCCTGGCCTTAAAAGCACATGGAACTTTTCTAAGAGTGGTTTCTTCTCCACTTCTGGCAAGTGGTCCTCGGTTGGACCAAACACCTTCGCTATCTCAGGCAGGTCTCTAGGTTTTACTCAGTCGGCATGTCATAGGAAGTGTGCCAATGCACTGCAACTTGACAGAGGGGACAGAAGGTGGTTCTTATCTCTCCAGCTAGGCGCCGTGTTCCCTGAATGCTCACTGCACCCAGCTGGAGTACCTGATGGTGAGGCTAAACTGACCTGCAGGAGTACAAATCTATGTCCCAGGAAAAGATGCCCTTGAAGAAGCCCAACCCCTCTCACACTCTTCTCACACCCCACCAGCAGCCCAGGAGCAGCACTCCAGGAAGTAACACTGTCACTGGAAAAGCAACTCAACCACCTACTGACTGAGTCATGAGGGGCACCTCTGACAGTGGCTACCAAGTGTCCATTAAGGTGGAAGTGGCTGGTAGAAGCCTCAACAAAAACCCTCCCTCTCATGTCCCTGGTCAGCCTCACATTTTCCTCACCTATAAACAAACCCAGAGTTCCTCCTTTCTTGCCCTTCCAGATGCCTTCTCTCAGCTAGGGCTGAAAGCACACACTCTGGGAGGTGGCACAGTGTGAATTTGGCGCAATTGCCCAATGCTGAAGCTGTTACAGCACAAAGGGCGGCCAGCCAGTTCAGGTGATCCAACAACCTTGACAAGTCCTAAATCGAAAGGGTTGAAAGAGCTGCGTCCACACTCTCAGCTGCCCAAAGGTAAGCAATTTGGCAAACAGTAAATGCTGAGAGCCGTCAGACAGGACTGACAAGAGCCCAGGAAACAAAGCAACAAAGAGTGTGGAGGGCAAGGACTTCAAGTAAAATTGGTGAGACAAGACAGAACTTCCAGAAGCACAAAAGATCCTTGGAGAGCCTGGACACTGACATACTATAGGCAGAGTCCCTGCTTCTCCTAAGGAAACACCCTGTGTGGCCCAGAACAAGGGCCCATCACAGAGCGGGGAAAGGCCACACTGCTTCTTGACCAAGATAACTATGTTTTTTCACATTAAATATGTGAATTAAGGGGAGCTCAGACAAGTGCTGGTGAGGTGTACCTTAGCCATGCAACCAGAAATTTAAACCTCACCCAAGGATGAGAATAATATGGTTTTTTATAGTTGTTTTTTTTTCAGAGAGAAAAATATCGATGTGAGAAACAGATCAGTTGCCTCCTGTACATGTCCCAACCAGGGTTCAAACCCACAAACTAGGTATGTTCCCTGACCAGGAACTGACCCTGCGACCTTTTTGGTGTATAGGATGATGCTCCAACAAGCTGAGCCACCAGTCCAAGATACAACAAGAAATTTTAAAAGAAATTTTAATAACACCATGAATGGGGTGTTTTCTTCCAGCACGAAGTGTTGATTCCCTGAGTAGTGAGTAAACATTTCAAAGGAAAAGCCTGCCTTTGGGTCCCACACCCTCATCTGTGCACACACTACAGGGTCGTGAAAACCCTGGCCATACCTGGGACACCTTGTCGCAGGTTCTCCTCCACAGACCCACAGCCGCCATGAGACTACTGGATGCTCCCCCCTCAAGTACATCCTTCCTCCAGCCCCTGAACATTTTCTTCACACACCTCCTAGGTCAGTTGTCACCCAGCAGCCACCAAGCTGCACCGTGATGAAAACCCTTCTCCAGGAAGCTTACAGCAGAATCTCAGCCTCCCATAAAGCCGCTAGCCTCTAAAAAGGTCTCTAGGCTTCGAGCTGATAACTCAAAGTGCCAAGATGATTATTCAGAATCCAGCTGCTTCTTCCCAGCCTCAGGCCTCTATTAGAGTTGAAAATAGTGAGAAAGAAAACAGATTGCAAATTGCCACAGGCTTGCTCCCTGCCAGGCAGTGTTAGGCTTTAACCACAGTGAAGAGATGAAGAAAGGCAAGGCGCTGATCCTTGGCTCCTAATTGCAGTCTAACTGGGTAGGGCAAATGGCTGGTTGGCGCAGTTCTCATTACAGACCCGATGGTGACAGGAGGTGGCAGCTCAGGTCCACGGGGAGAGGCGCATCCCAGGCCAGCTAACTGTGGGGACTGCGTGGTGCTCACACTGCTTCCGAGCAGTCTTGGGCCCAGCAGGGAGAGCCCCGCATACGAGGGTCCTGCGCCCTTCCCGGGAGAGGACGGGGAGCGGCTACCCGAGGACAGGCCAGCTGCGGGGCCTCCTTACCGTTGCTGTAGGCGTATGGGGATTCGGCCGCGCCGTCCTGCAGGCTCTCCAGGATCTCTCCCTTGCCCACATCGCTGTCTCCCACCAGCAGGAACTTGAGCAGGTAGTCGTAGCTCTTGACCGGGCTGCCCTGCGTCCCCATCCTCGCTCACGCGCGCTCAGGCCGCACCCGCATGCCCACGGCGCCAGCCCGGAGAGCACAGAGGGGAGGAGGCCTCTGACCGACCTGCGGGGACCAGGCGTGGGTGAGCGGGGGCCGGCGAGGATCGGTCCCCGAGGGCCCCACCGTCCCGACTGCTGCCCAGACAGCCCGGGGCGAAGCGCCCTGGGCCCGCACCTGCTCCGCCTCCCACCTCACCTAAGCGCTGCCACCGCCCCGCCGCTTCCCGCACAGCGCCGCGCAGCCCTGCCTCGCCCCCAGACCACGCGCCGCCATTGGTTGCCCGCCGCCTACCTGCCCCTACCTATTGGCGCGCGAGCACGTCCTTCGCGTCTGCCCGCCCCCATCGTTTCCCACACAGCACAGCAAAGCCTCCAATCGCCCCACCCCATCACCGCCCTATTCCACCTCCCTTGGATCGCCATTGGTCACCCACCGGCGCTTTCTCAAGATCACTGGCCGCTGTGCATGTCCGTCATGACTGCCCGCCCCCACACTGTTTCCCCAGGCAGCGTTGCAGAGATTCCAGCCGCCTCGCCTCGTCGCCGTTGCCGTTGGCCACTCTCCCTTCGCTTTCCCAGCACCACTGGTCCGCCTGCATGTCAGTCAGCACCATTACAGCCCCGGAGAATTCCCGGAACCACCCACGACCCCGCCCACTGCCTCTACGTACCTAGAATCCAGCCCGCCCCGCCCCTCCCCGTCGCCATTGGTCACTGCTGTCGATCCTCCCAGAGCCACTGGACCATCTGTACGTCGATCACGGCCTTCTAAACCCATCTCCTACTTCCCACTGCTTTCCCTATACGCTTACCAATCAGGAGATTGTAACTCCAGGTTGTTTGCATACGCCCTCTTCCGTCCAGTAGACCGGAGCTGGATGGTGGCTGTTCCCGTGGTGAGGTGATGCAGCTGTGGCCCGGAGGACTAAACCCCCTAGCAAGCTGTGGCTGGCTGCTTCTGCAGAGACCCCAGAGAGCGCGGGGTGAACCCTAGAACGGCGCTTGCGGAAACCGACTTCCCGCGACGGGGGCGTGACCTGGGAGTGGCGGGGCAGAGGCAGCCAATCGGCGCTGGGGATCTGGGAGCGATAAGGCTTTCTATCCAGAAGGGGGCGGGGTTGAGAGGGTTGTGGTTGTGTCCAGGCTATGGCGAACTGGGACTGTGGGCTAAGCTACTCTGAGCGAGTTAAGCGAGCTTCCCGGGGGTGCAGCACGGGGCTTATGCCCTTTGCCCCGGGCAAGGCTGTAGGCCACAGCGCGTGGCTGTGAAGTTTTAACGTTCTAGAACCACGGTGGCTCCGCAGGTGGCTGCCGCTTCAGTAGTCAGAGGTGTTGGCAGCACAGGCTTCAGAGGTAGAGTGACAGGACTCTGCCCCCAAGTGCCCAGGGCGGAGCCTAGATGTCCAGTCGAGTCCGTATCAGGCTAGGTGAGGGGATTCAGGAGGGCCCACAAGGCGAGTCAGGACGTGGGGCTCTGAGGCTTGACCTTGGAGGCCTCCAGGAGGAAGTGACTAAGGGGTTGTTTACAGGATGCACGGATTATTTTTCTTTTCCTTTTTTTAACGTATATTTTATTGATGCTATTAGTTGTCCCAATTTTCCCCCTTTGTCCCCCTCTGCCCCATATCCCCTTCCCTCCAGTAATGCCCCCCTCTTACTTTATGTCCATGTGTTATGCATCTAAGTTCTTTAGCTTCTCCATTTCCTATACTATTCTTAACCTCCTCCTATTTTGTACCTACCAATTATGTTTCTTATTCCCTGCAGCATTTCCCCTGTTCTCCCCCTGCCCCCTACCCATTGATAACCCTACAAATGATCTCCATTTCTGTGATTCTGTTCCTTTTCTAGTTGTTTACTTAGTTTTTGTTTTTAGATTCAGTTGTTGATAGTTATGAATTTGAATTTATTGTCATTTTACTGTTCATAATTTTTATCTTTTTCTTAAATAAGTCCTTGTAACATTTCAAAAAATAAGGGCTTAGTGATGATGAACTCTTTTAGCTTTACTTTGCCTAGGAAGCACTTTATCTGTCTTTCCATTCTAAATGATAGTTTTGTTGGATAGAGTAATATTGGTTGTAGGTCCTTGCTTCTCATCATTTTGAATACTTCTTGCCTGTCCCTTGTTGCCTGGCAAGGTTTTTTGGTTTTTGTGGTTTTTTTTTTTTTGAGAAATCAGCTGACAATCTTATGGGCACTCCTTTGTAGGTAACTCCTTTTCTCTTGCTGCTTTTAAGATACTCTCTTTATCTTTAAACTTTGGCATTTTAATTATGATGTGTCTTGGTGCAGTCCTCTTTGGGTCCAACTTGTTTGGGACTCTGTGCTTCCTGGACTTGTATGTCTATTTCTTTCACCAAATTAGGGAAGTTTTCCTTCATTATTTGTTCAAATAAGTTTTCAGTTTCTTGTTCTTCCTTTTCTCCTTCTGGCACCCCTATGATTCTGATGTTGATACATTTGGAGATATCCCAGAGGCCCCTTAGACTTATCCTCATTTTTTTTGAATTCTTGTTTTTTATTCTGTTCAGGGTGATTGTTTCTTTCTTTCTTATATTCCAAATCATTGGTTTGAATCCTGACTTCCTTCCCTTCACTGTTGGTTCCCTGTAGATTTTTCTGTTTCACTTAGCGTAACCTTCACTTCTTCCCTTATGCTTTTGCTGTGCTCAGTAAGTTCTCTGAGCATCCCTATCACCAGTGTTTTAAACTCTGCATCTTATAGGCTGGCTAAATCCATTTTGTTTAGTTCTTTTTCTGGATTTTGTTCTGTTCTTTAATTTGGACCATATTTCTTTGTCTCCTCAATTTGGCAGCCTCCCTGTATTTGTTTCTGTGTACTAGATAGAGCTGCTTTGATTCCTTGTGTTAGCACACCTGTTAAGTTGTATGGGGTGGAGACTTAGATATTTGCCAGGGTAGGGTAAGACACTTCACTGCTTTGTGGCTCTGTATGTTGGGAAGGGGTCAGAGAGAGGACGATGCCACTGTCTGGCAGCTAGAGGCTTGCTTGGCACTCACCCTGTTTTCAGTCACTTCATCCTCTTCCCATATGCAACCCTCTAGCTGCTACCCTGGTAGTGGTTCCCAAGAATGGGTGGGTTTCAGTACATTCTAGGACTGTGCAGGCCCTTTAAATGAACTCTCCTGAGAGACCAGCAGTTTCTTCTGCCACCCTAACCCACACTAGGTTTTACAGCCAGAAGTTATGAGGCTTTATTTGCTGGCACTGGAACGCTGGGCTGTGTGGTCTGGCCTGGGGCTGGGCTGGGATCATTCACTCCCAAGGTGTCCCTCCCAGTTTTTATCTACCACACGTGAACATGACACTACCTGATCCACCACCAGCTGCCACACCACTTCCTCTGCACCCTGGCTCCCTGGCTCCCTGGCTCCCTCCTGCTCTTCTGGATGAATATGGCTTCTTTAAGTCCTTGGTTGTCAGACTTCTGTACAGTTTGATAGTCTGGCACTTCTGGGTGTTTTTTATTTTGAGGTTAGTTGTGATCCACCTGATGGTTGTGCAAGGAGGCGAAGCATGTCTACCTACACCTCCATCTTGACTGGAAGCCAGGGTTATTTTTCTTAATGGGCAAAGAAGTATGAAAAGCCTGTGAACATGTGTGAAGGTAAGTTTCACTCGTGAAATGGAAATTAAAGCAAAATAGTACTCTTTTCACCCATCAGAGTGGCAAAAGCTCTTGTGGGCCAGGATGTGGGGAACAGGTCTCAGGGAGGTAAGTTGGACTGGCTGATAATTCCACATCTGATTTAGCATGAAGAAGTCCTTAGAAAGGAGCTCGAAGAATTTCATTGCAGCATTGTAGTGATGGTAAACATCAGGAAACTGATAGGGAAATATTCAATTAACCAGGTGAGCAATATAAGGTGCAGACAGTACCCACATGAGAAGAAAGCACATCAATGGATAAACAAAATGTGGCTTATCCACACGACTATATTCAGCCATAAAAAGGAATGAAATACTGTTAAATGCTACATTACATTATATGAAACTTCCAGAACAGGCAAATCCAGAGACAGAAAGTAGATTAGTGGTTGCCAGGGCCTGGGGTAGGGAGAAATGGTGAGAGACTGCTTAAGGGGTATGGGTTTCTTTCCGGGGCGATAAAAATGTTCTAAAATCAATGATGGTCATACTACTTGGTAAAGTTACTACAAATCATGCAGTTGTGCACTTAAAATGGGTGGTTTTATGATATGTAAAACGTGCCTTCCATATGGCTGTTAAAAAAAATAATAAAAGTTGTCAAAACGGAGCCAAATGCAAGCCCTTACTCGCCAGGCACAGAGTGGTGTGTGTCAGGGAGAAGCCACACAAGAGTTAGGGCTTCCTAAAAATCCGATCTGCACAGAAGGAACAACACTGCGACCAGGCCCCGGTGTGCTACACTGAGGGCAGCCCGGCTGGCATTCCTCCCAGCAGGCGAGGAATGGGGAGGAGGGACTTTCCTCCCAGGGGGGTCACTGCATCCGTTCCATGCCTTCAACATTTGGTGGTCTTTACAGAGAACAGTCCCCTTCATGGGCAGCACCACACTGAGTGACCTCCCATCCTAAAGCTGACGGCAGCCGTTACTGGACAGCAGGCCACACGGATGCTTCCTTTGTTTCGGTGTGCTGCCTGGAGAGACTTCCTAAGGTGCAGGTCCCTTCATTAGGTGGGCAGAACCTGATGAGTTCCTGGGCCTTCCTCATCCGCCTTCGGTAAGAGGGTATCCAGGTGTCCTCCAGGCCCTTTGGGGAAGCAGGAAGCGGAAGCAGGAAGCTGGGACACGAGTGCAGAGGCTAGCCAGGAATAGGCAGGGCCACTAGGAACCTTAGTGGTCCTGCTTGTGCATTTCCTCCAACCATGTCCCCTCTCCCAGGAATGGCTATTCCCTAGATGTCAGACTACAGCAGACAGAGCCTCCCATGTTTACAGAAAGGGTACACCCACCCACAACACAATGTTTACAGAAACAGCCAGCAGGCGGTCTTGTTGGCCCTCAGCTAGTCAGAGGTGGGGGACTGAGTCCCCAGAGGGGCTAGGGACTGAGCAGTGACTCATGCAACACAGGGGAAGCCAGCAGCTTGTGCTTGCTCACTCTTAAATGGAGCTTCAAGGTCAAGTAGGGCCCTTGGGGTCATCAGGTCAGGGGTCTCTGCGCCCAGCCTTGAGCCTACCTCTGCCACTGCCCTGCCCACTCCCTGCTCTAAAGCCACCCAGTCCCCTCTCCAGAGGAAGTGCTATGGTGTTAACTTTTTTCCCCCATCACACAAGGGCATTTTTTTCTTTTTAGAATTTTATTTTCTTTAGAGGGGAAGGGAAGGAGAGAGAGAGAGAAATATGTATGGTTGCTTCTGGTGCATCCCCTGCTGGGAACTGGCCCCTGCTGGGAACTGGCCTGCAACCCACAAATGTTTCCTGACTGGGAATCGAACCGCGATCGTCTGCTTCGCAGGCCCGCACTCAATCCATTGAGCTACAGCAGCCAGGGCCAAGGACATTTTTTTTTCGTTGCTCTTAGAGGGGAAAGGAGAGAAGGGAGAAAAACATGGATGTGAGAAACCTCCATCAGCTGCCTCTCACACGTCCAACCCCAGGCATGAGCCATGACTGGGAATCAAACCTGTGACCCTTCAGTCCATGGGATGACGCTCCAACCAACTAAGCCATGTCAGCCAGGGCAGCGCGCACATTTTCCGACTGGGCCTTTCCCAGCACGGCCTGTGGAGCAGGTGCAGCCACCGTAGGTTGGTAGCCTATCCCTAGGGTGTGATTCTGGGCAGAACTGGGTGACCCTCTGGCAGGGGCTTCTGGTTCTTTGCTGGGACCCTATGTCTCATACACCCAGCCACAGAGCAAAAAGGTGCCACAGGAACCCATAGGGTCCGAGGCAGCAGGACCCAGTCGAGGAAGGACTGCCAGAGGGGTGCCACTCCCCGGTGTCCAGAAGTCTTGTGGAGAGAACAGCTGGCTTCCCACTCAGCGGCATACCCTTGTGCAAGGATGTCCTG